AAGAAGCCCCGGGAGGTACCGCCTCTCATGCATCTGCAGAATCAGAGTCTGACCCGCAGACGTCTCAGTCTCCATCAGATATAAGGTGCATGATGTCAAAGTCTTACTTGTCAGATTGTAATATAATAGCCTGATACTGTACTACTTGAATTTGTAGTACTTGAAGCTTTGCAATTACCCTGAAATTAATAACTACCATAGCCGTATTCTGAGTATTATTTTATATATTTATCTACATATTTTAAATTTTTTGTAAATGCAGAATTGAAGATGAGGCTCCAGATTCTGTAACTTCACAAGACTGGCTTACACAACTCTACAAAGAACTGGAAAAGCAGAGACTTAGCTTGCCAGAGAGGTACTGTCATATTTTAATGTTAAAGTTTATACTTGAGATCATAATCTTTCTGTCTCATTTTAATGTATAGACTCAATGAGGATGAGCTTGGTAGATTCTATAGAGTGTCAAATGGAGACTTCACATCCTTACTATCCTCAATGAAAGTGTCTTGGTTGATCAAGCTTCTACCAAGACTTTCTTCTTGCTTCAGTGTTGTCTTAAGTAACCCTCTAATGGCTTCATGGAGTTTCTTCATTTTGGAACGAGTCATGGGACCTTCTGGAATGGCTAAGACATCTTCATCGGCTGGTTGGTTCATTGTCTCATCGTCTCCATTGATAAGCTGGTCCATGATCACATCACTATGACTATGGTAGACACCGGGCGACAAGTAATTATGGAATATGTGTGAAAGGCAAAACAGATTTCTACGGGATCTTGCAGGAGATTTATGAAGTTCAATTCCCAGGTATGAGTTTGAAATGCGTTATCTTCAAGTGTGACTGGTACGATCCCGTCATCAACAGAGGTGTTCGGATTAACAAGAACGGTGTAGTTGATGTCAGTGGTGGACGAAGGTACAAAAAATTCTTTTTTTGTTATATCCAGGTTTCGAGTATTAATTAATTTCTACGTTGTCTTCATTTTTGCAGGTACAACAAGTTCGAGCCTTTCATATTAGCTTCCCAAGCAGTTCAAGTTTGCTTCATTACATACCCTCGGATTACTACCTCAGGAATAAACTGGTTAGCTGTTATCAAAGTTACACCTCGAGGATGAATAATCGCTGGAGAAGAACCACCATTACAAGAAGAAAACACCAATGAGATTGAGGAACCTGAAGCAGAAATTGATGACATCCTACTCATTGATCCGCATAATCGTGAATACAAAGATATTCCTGATCACTCGACGGACGAAGGTGTAGAGGACGAGTTTTACGAAAATGATGATGTTTCAACAGATTACGAGAATGTATCCGAATGAATTATGTATGTTTATAAGTTTGTTTAATCACAAAAATGAATTTGAATTATGTATGTTTTAAGTTTGTTTAATCACAAAATTAATTTGCATTTGGGGTTTATGTGTAGAAGAGGTTAGGAGTTTGGTTGTAGAAGAGGTTATAAGTTAAGGAAGTTATGGTTTCGGGTTTGGGGTTTAGAGTTTAGGGATTTACAAACCCTTTCCTCGTAAAACCCTAGTAACAGAAAGCGCGGGCATAGATGTTTCCTCGTAAAGGCCTCGAAACTCTGAACTCGGGCATAGATATTTTCTCGTAAACTTACTAGGGCCTTACGAGGAAACAAAATTCCCTATATAAACTCGAGCCATCCAATTTCTCTCATTTGTAGTAAGCTTCTCTCTGAATCCTCTTAAGGTTCTCTCTATTTCCTAGTTAGGTGATTAGATTAGGAAATTTAGATTAGGTGGTTAGTTTAGGGAACTTAGATTAGGTGGTTAGTTTAAGTAATTTAGATTAGGTTGATTTAGTTTTTTAACCATTTTTTAAAGATACTAGTATATTAATGTTTTAAATTTTTTTAAAAAAATTTAGATGACTAGAAAGAGCAAGCTTGAGAGAGCGGCTAAGAGGCCTCTTCAGGGGAGTCCTTACGGAGATCTTTTCGGTCGTCAGCCAGGCGCATCATCTTCGTCTGCTCCCGGTTCTTCTATTCCGGATTATGATGCTGTTCCCGAGACTCAGGGAGTTTCTACGGTGCCCCGGTCTGACCAACCACCTCCTCCTCCTCCACCTCCTCCTCCTCCTCCACCGGTCGCCGGGGTTCATCCCGATTTGCAGGTGCCGCCAAACGCACCATTTGCGGTGTACACGGTGGAGGATATTATGGCCCTTCCAGACAGAGAATGGCTGCCTGAGTTAGATCATATCCAACGGGACGGCCACAAAATATTATGGTATGTTTTAATTTTTAAAAAGCGTTTTTAATTTATTTCTTAATTAACAAAAAAATTACAAATTAATCTAATTAATGTTTTTATTTTGTTTCTTTCCAGGTTTTGGTCTTGACGGATGTGTCGCTCAGAGCGTCACAGATTGTATCAAGGGATACTTTCCCGATGCAGCTCCAAACTGGAAGAAGACGCCCAGCCACACAAAAAAAAGACGTGGTTCAAATCGTTCGCTGTAAGTCATTAATTAATCAACTTAATTTATTTTTAATTATTTAAAATTATTAATATTATTGAACTAATTACTCTAATTTTTTCCGGTTACAGCAAAATTATCGTTGGTCTATAGGGATTCACGAGCGGGTGAAGACGGAGTTTGAGGCCAAGGCAAAAGCACGATTGCTCGACATGGTCTACAACTGGAAGGGAGACTTTCAGGTGTGAATTTATAAATTATATATATATATATATAGTTTTAAATCATTGACTTTAATTCAAATCATTTTAAAATTATTTTTTCTTCAGGTGAATGGTTACGAGGAGGGGAAACTTGATTGCCTCACATTCAACGTGTGGGATGGCCTCATCAGATATTTGGGGTTGCCGGACTCGGTCAGAACCTCCTACACAAACTCCGAGAACCGCATGACAAGAGACGAGCATGGCAACACGAAGATGCTTCACACCGGGGGTCGAAAACCTCACGGGGAAATTCGTCTAGACATGGTAAATTAATTTTTAATAACTATTTAATTTTTACTCTATTTGTATATATATTCCTAATTAATATTTAATTTTAAAATTATTTTTAGGCTAAAGAGGCAGGAGTTCTTCCATCTCTGAAAGAGCTTTACGAGAGGACCCACCGGAACAAGGCTGAGCATTTTGTAGATCCTAGATCCAAGCGGATCTACAACGAGGTTGTTGCTCGGGTTGAAGAACGCCAGACCCAGCTGACTCAGCAGTCTGGGACACCAGTCATATTATCCACTCTTGAAGTGGATAAATTTACGAGAAGGTAAATAATTTATTTTTCTATTAATTTTTATTATTTATTTAATTTTTTAAGGTTATAAATCTTTTTATTTATAGATCGTCCCTAGGAAAAAGGGACATATCGCCGGGATTGGCTCTGTTAACGATGTCCCTACAGCGACATTGCCTTATGCTCAGGAACAACACAATGTCAATGTTCAGCTGCACTCGTAGTTACAGGCGACACAGTCTCATATAAATTTAATATATAAAAATAAAGCTAAAGCTAATGCAAGGTCGACTAAACAAAAATGTTAATTTTGATACTAGCTCATATATTTATATAAAATTTTAATTTAAATATAGAATATTTACAAACATAAATAAATTTATCTGTGAACATGTTTTATTCCATAACATCCAATATTATAAAAACCCCAATACATATTAATTTTTATTAATATAATAACCAAACGATGAAGACATTTGATATTTCAGAATATTGCTTAACTTATTTAATATTGTAAGATTTAAAACTAAATATCTGAACTGAAATTTATTATATGTATCACATATTGAATTCTTCTCAAATCTCAAAACTTTAGTCCATCTAATTAAGAAAAAAGAATTAATATACATAAATACAAACATCAATTATGTATTAAAAAACATAAACTGTGTATAAAATTCTAATTTTTTTAAGTAAAATTTTACAACCAAAATTAATCACGCGTATCAAAACCTAATAGAGTAGTTGATAAATAAAATTTCTAATAGATATGAAATAAATATATAATCAAATTGTTTTAAAACTTTCCTACTACAACATTTGTTTTACGTATAATATTTAAAATGAAATAGATTTGTTGCATCAATCACTTTTATGATTAGCTCCTCCAAACAAACAATTTGTTTTAACCTTTTAAACAAAGTTTTTGTACATAGTTCCAATGATCTAATTATGGATATATTTCGAGTGAAATCATCATGCAGATAGCTGAAGAACGCTTAAGTGATAAACTGCTCTACTAATTATACATCCCAAACAAAACAATTAACGTGCCCCGTGATTAAATTATTGATACTATATATAGTCACTTGATGGTAAGTGAAGATTATCCTATCATTCATCGCTGTCGTAGCCGTTCTCATTGGCTGCACATTACATAATAATTTGCTCATCCGACATAAATAGTTAGCGTTTGATGTAAGTGGTCCACTTCTATCTTAGTACAAATGGTTATCAGAACATTAATATGGGGATTTCTTTTTTTTGTTTGGATCACGTGTTTGTTTTTCGCTTTGAAGTGCTAACCAGTAAAGTTCAGAAAAAAATTTCTAACCAGTAATATTAATTCTACTAAACTTGCTAAAGAGCCATTAGCGTGTTAAAGGCAATAACCAGATAATACCAAAATAGGTTGTCACCGTTTTGACTTTTCGGGCTTGAAGACAGTTTAGAAATCAACTTCTGAATCTGACTCGTAAGTTTGGGATGAAAATACATGAAAGTGATATAGTATACCTATATTCAATACTTTTTGTACACGCTAGGTTAAACCGAATAGGGTAAGAGATTGAACTTTCTTATTGATAATTCAGCATCTATAAATAACTACAGAATCTTACTATAAACAGTAACTAAGTTAATAAAGCCAACAACATCTCCCTTCTTAATTCTTATACACAAATGATATACTAACAAAGTAATTAAACACAAAATATTGAAAAGAGGGTCTGGCTAATTATGGAAATACTCTGACGTTGGGAATTAAACTTGTTCCTTCAACTGATTCTCGCTCACGAACGTTCCGTGGAAACCGTACGGTACTCTCTCCGGTAGCCGCACCGCCGCGACTTGCTTCATCTCTGATGCGTTAACCACCACAAACTCCGACTCATTTCCCTCCTCGTCCCTCACAAACCCCATTACGTACCCTTCGTCTTCTCCTTCTCCATCCGGTACGAAGTACGGTTCGCCACCGAACCGGCCCGGTCCGTATTTGAATTCTGAAACGTTTCCGTTCTCTAAATCCACCTTCGCAAAGCCATTGCATCTCGGCCAAGGATCGGCTATCGCTAAATAAACAAACCGGGTTTTTCGGCCCAGGAAATTTCGGTTTACTTGACCCGCTTCTAAATTCATCCCGGTTACGATGATCTTCCGGTTCGATTCTTTTGTCCGCATGTTTAACCGTATTTCAGTTAATTCAATCCGAGTCGGTTCTCCAGATTCGCTGAAAATCGTGTCGGGCGGGTTCATGCACGAACCAATTACAACGATAACCGGGTCACCGTCCTTGGTTATCTCTTCCCACGCGTTCCATAAATGGAAACAGAAGCAGTCGGGTACGTCGACCCAATTAATACTCGACCCGGTCGAATCCTGTTTTGACAAAACACCGAATCTTGAAATCTTCTCTCTTTCGTAGATAACCGGTGACCCGCCCCGAATCATTTCGGATAGTTTGAATATCATTTGCTGATCCGGGATCACGACGAAATTTTCAGTTATCGCAAAATCGTGAATCATCGTGGGTTGCTCGAGTGTGATGTCAAGGTCACGTGTCTTTTTTCCGCACGTGTCGAATTTAAGATATTTGAGATGAGGTTTCTTCAAAACGTTGTAACTCAGCGTGTGAAGATCTCCTGTGGTAGGGTCCACCTTAGGATGCGCTATTAGTGGACAATCGATCTGTCCATCAAATCTGAACCGTCCGATAGTCTCGAGATCTCCATGGCCGTTGATCTTCACGTGGTAAGGGAGATCATCCTCTGACATGGCTAATAATCTTCCGTTAAAGTAAATGACGCCGGCGTTAGCTACACCCATGCCACGTGTCGCGTCCACAAGCCCAATCTCAGCTCGAGCGGCGAATAAAGCGAGTCGAGCCAAACCGGAGTGACCGTGAAGCTCGCCGATGGGTTTGGGGAAGACCGAACGGCCTAGCTCGGCTTCCTGAACAAGCCGGCTTGTTTTAGTGTACCGGCAGCTGTAACTAACCCGGTTATCAGAACCAATTCTAACGGCGTGCAGCATTCCGTCACCGTCAAACAAATGGTGTCCACCTAACGGCGGAAACATAGGATTAGCGCCGTTACGGATGTAGACTCCACGTAGACAAGGAGGAATATGACCGACAACTTCTAAACCGTTTTGAACCGGACATTCATTAACCGGAGCGAAATTTCCTGATAATTGAATAGATGGATCGGTCGGTTTAGGTAGAGGGTGGTTTTGTTCCATTGGTACAACGAGGGAGGACTCGATTTTGTCGAGCATGGAAGCTGCTAGCTTCTGGATAGGGTTTAAGTGATGATGCGGTGGTTTGAGCTTAACCGGACACGATGGTGACGTAGCCGGTGAAGTGAGGTCGAGAGTTTTTGTTGTTTTCGTAAAAGGGTTATTAATGAGAAGTTGGGACTTGGTAATATTTGCATGCTTGGTTTGTAGGCGTAAATGAAAACGAGAGGAAGTTTCTAGCGGAAGAAGATCGGAGCTGAGAGAGTGTTGCATGGTGGCGAGGAAAGAGTGGAGTGAATGATGTTTTGTATCGTAAACATGAAGGCGTGGTCACGTTTTTATAAGTGAACTCTTTTTAGATTTTTCTTTTTGTTTTTGTTTTCTCAACCTCCCTTGTTCAAGGCTAGCGGTTGAATATAAATAAAAGTGTGTAGAGTATTGACATGTGGCATATCGCTGTTATGATAATATTAGAAAAGTTGCAATATAAAATTATTTGATAAAACCATAAATGTATTCATAGATCATAATTAGTTTAGATATTTGTGTCTTTTTTAAATCATCCAAAACAAAGTCAGTGAATCTTGTCAAATAGGTTGGAGAAATAAGCAATGTGCTTTATATAAATGTGAAGCATGTTGCTCAAAAAACAACAACTGTGAAACATATAAATATAATGATAAAATAAAATATAAGTACCTACAGGATTTGGAGCAATAAATTAAAGAGTTATAATCTCAAGATTTTGGGGGAAAAACTAATATTACCCGAGTTTAACTGATTTTACCCAAAATAGTAAGCGAAATATATAACTGAAAGTTTGAAACCAAAAAAACTTCGACAAATGTCGGTAAACTTTTTAAAAACCAAACTACTCAAGTATCAAACTGAACCAAACTTTTTTGTGGTTCAATTCGGGGAGATTTTAGTCGAATCAAATTATTCGAAAACTAAAGTATTTAAATCAAGTTATCCAAACCTGCATATCTAAAAGCATGATTAATTTTGAATCTCTTATTTGGGATTTTAACAAATTTGACTTTTTATATATTTTCCTATTAACAGACGTCTCTTATATCTTTTATTTAGAAGATGGTTCTTATCTTTTTTTTAGTTAACAACTAAGAAATATATCTTAATTAAAATTAAGAATCTCAATTAAAAAATCGAAATTAATCATTGTCTAACGGGTATAACTAGTGAACTTGGGAGTAATACAGACAAAATAACAAAGTGAAAACAGAATAAATATTAAAAGATGAAATAGAAAAAAGAAAACAAAATCCGGGTTAATTGTATTTTTTTCCTGTTTTTTTACTTTATCAACAGTAAATAGAGCGAAAGTAAAAGAATGATAGTGTACTTAATTGGTATGTTTTCAGCAATTCAGAATAAAATAGTTTTCCTCTGGTATATTTACTCTAAAATGACTTTACAACCGCACATTAAAACTGGTATGACTTGGTATGTCGAGGTGTGTGTGTTTTGACACTAACGTAAAACTTCGTGTGGTGTGTGATAGACCTTCAAAGTTTCTTACTAAAATGGATGATATATCTAAATGCATGTCTCAAAAGTTAAAATCAATTATTGGTATGTGCCATGGATAATGTGAAGTTGCTGTTGGAATACACTGAGAGATATGGTAATGTGAACTTGATGGATGATGAGTGAGATGATGAATGAGGAATATGCTTTCTATTCTTTTCAAAGAGAAGACCGTTCGTAGAGTCGGCCAGGCTCCTGGTTTATCGAACTGGTTCGGCCGGGAATTTTTTGGCATGAACTAATTTGACTCTTTCTAAACGTAAATAACTCAATAATTACACTGTACGAGTTTGTATTTGGGTACAACGATGATATTAGTACAAATATATCATAGCCTATTAATCTGGACCAAAGAAAATTAATTTTTGATCAATAAATGCACTACATCTATCTTTTGTTTTGCAGTGTTAACAAAATGCAACAGTGGGGAGATTCGAATTTCATTGTGTTCTAAAGAATATTTGCATCAAGACACTATTCTAAATGGCCAGCTAAATGGGCATTTTATAGTCTTGTCTTTATAAATTTCTTTGTTTGCAGTAATGTCATGATTCGTAATAAAACAAGATGAGCTCACTTGGTTGGAACTTGGAAGCCAGCTCCACCACATGGGTTGGGTTTCAAGGCAAAAGAGAAGAAGGAAGATATATCATTCTAGACCATGCTATTTTATTTTGTTTGTATCTAAAACAACCACATTTCTATTTTCTGATTAGATATATTAATAATATTTTTTTTAATTGATCACATATTGGATAAAATATTTAATATATATATTAGTCAAAATACATTAGTAAAAATTGTATTTATTATATATTTTTATTTCAATTTTCTTTTGAAAGATTATAGGCAGCCTGCCTCTTAATTTGAGTTTTGATTGTTTGTGTTTAGTGTTGGAAGTAGCAAATGTGTTGGTTAAACAAGGCTCACTAATCATTTCTAATTTCCAAAGTGTACATTGTTTTGACATCATGCACACACTATAAGTTCATGCTTGATTAAACAGATTATCGGACGGGGACACAATTTAAATACCATAATGGTGGATAATGTGATGAGTTCAATCTGCATGCTGGTTTTGAGTAGCTACCTCCAAATAATGTTTGTGCATATACATGTGATTTAAAATTTTAAATCAGACTATTGGAGGAAACGAGCTAGTTAGGCCGTGCGTAATTATTAATTTTAGTTAAAGAGATCATATTTGTTAAGAAAAATTACACGTATTTTTTTAGTACATGGTGCCGGACCAGGCCAGTTGTAAGTAATTCTATCACTAGACCAAACTCGGTGGAAGCGAAGTCCAGGTAATTGATTGATTCAACCTCTCTAATCCATGAAAGTGAACACAAACTGCATAGGGCTCATGAGTAGAAAATGTGGAAAGCCTAACCTAGTGCCTTGTAGATAGATTTAAAGACATGCATGTTTATATTATATGTTGACGCAGGTCGCATTGAACTCATTCTTTCATGGATTAGAGAGGTTGAATCAATTAATTTAAGAGGTATTCTCACAAGGATTATGCCTGATGAAGCGACCCCGTATAAATTAAAAGACGAGTTAACTTTTGAGAGATCATAAAAAAAAAATTGAAAGCAACCTTAGGGAATACGATACTAGCAATACCCAAATTAAATTTGTTTTAATTCCATTAAAATTAGTAAAGTCTCAAGAATTGTTTGTCAACAAAGAATCAAGAATATATATTACCTATAGTTACACTGATTATGTCTTAGTTAAAGTGAGTAGTTGTAATAACTAATAAACATGAGACGAGCGAAATTAGAATATATCCATCTATGTTAGATGAATAAGAAAAAGCATGCAAAAATTCACCAAAAGACCGATTTTAAAACCAATATAAGGACGTCAGGATCAATACCAACACCAACTTTGCTATATGTCCTACTCTAAAACTATATTAAGGAGAATCTTGATTGCCCTTTTGGAGTCAAGCTTCTAAACATAGTCATCAAGCTTCGTATGACGCAACAAGCTCACATAAGACGACCTCATGACTTGCTAGCCAGACAAAATAAAGGTGATGACAAAATCCTCAATTTACATTTGATGACACCGTCTCTTTTTCGGATTTTATAACGTTGTATCACGCGAATTTGATCTTGCTTCACGTGGTACGATTGTACGTGTAGGATTATAGTCGCTCCGACCGCTTAAGAACGACCAACACTTGGCGTTACAAGACATCCTGAAAAGAATAAATCTATTTCACGTGTCAATATGTTATTCTTTCTCAACTCTTTATGCTCTTTGTAGAAGGGTATAGTGAAAGCATTGTAAGAAAAATATTCGGAGACAATAAGACGAAAACGTTATCAAATCGAAAACAAGAATAGTATTTAAGTATCCAATTTTGAGTTCCACAAAACTCATACACTAACTGTCTCCATCACTTGTGTTTATATAAGATTCGAAATAAGTTGTTGATGTCCCAACACCTTCCTGCTCGTCATGATCCTACTAGCAATGGGCATGCATCAATCGCATAACGTCTTGTCTTTGTCAAAATCTTCAACAACTTTCTTCCTTTCATCAACAGGAGGGAGAAGGATCTTTGAAGCAAACCAGAAAAAAAATTCATATAAAAATTTATTATTAACAACTTCTTTTGAGTGATGATAATGTACCCAAGGTTCGTATTAGGAAAGTGTATATTAGATAAAGATTCTCTTGTTAAACCGTTTTTGTCTTATGTTATATTTTCTATTTTTTCTAGGTCTAGAATTTGGAAGTCGGCTTATACCTTTGTAGATATACTTACGTTAACATTCAATACAACACAAAAGTTTACAGTTTACAATATCTTCTCAAGTTTACATGGTATCAGAGCGATAAAGTTCTGCGACCTGAGTTTCTTCTTTTTCTCGTCGTTCATAGTCATTGTTCTTGGTAAGAACATCAGTCTGAAGACATAATCAACGACGAGTCTTCCGCTACCAAAATTACGACTGCTCAAGTTGAGCAAGTTCAAATTGGTGCCGTCAACACAACTACTCCGTATTCTCTCTTTGCATCCAACAATCCAGGAGCATTGATAACATCGGTGGTGTTTACGGGTGACAACTACAATGAATGGTCTACGGAGCTTGTCAATCCACTTAGAGCCAAACGAAAGTTAGGAATTCTCGATGGAACAATACAAAAACCTTCATTGATGATCCAAAGTTTGAGCTCTGGTCATCTATCAATTTAATGATCGTTGGCTGGATCAGGTCGTCCATTGAAGCCAAGGTACGATCAACGGTTACATTTATCTCCGGCTCTCACAAGTTGTGAGAAAACTTGAAGAAGCGTTTCTCTGTGGGAAACAAAGTCCGCGTACACCATCTTAAATAACAGTTAGCGTCGTGCAAACAAGATGGACAGTTAGTCATGGATTGTTTTGGTCGTCTTGCTAAGATGTGGGAAGAGCTGGACACTTACAAACCTCTCCCACCTTGTACCTGCAGTGCTGCAGTTATCTATGAGAAAGAAAGAGAAGAAGAAAAGGTTCATCAGTTCCTTATGGGTTTAGACGAGTCACGGTTTGGTATTGTATGTCAAGGAATCATCGCAACATAATCTTTTATTGATCTGGGTGATGCTTACGCAAGAGTCGTTCGTGAGGAGCAACGTCTCGCTTCCTCAAAAGAACGTGAAGTTCAGCAGAGTGCAGTTGGTTTTGTGGCTAAGAAAGAAGCTTCTGAAACACAAAAACCTTG